ATGAAAGGCACGACCATGCCCAACTCCCCGACCACCTCCCACAATTTGTGGACTGCGAGCTGCATCGCGGCATGGTGGGACAGCGAGTTTGCGACCTGTATGCCTACGGACTTGTACAGCATATACCTTACAAGTCCTATACGGCCCAAATCCATTACACAACAACTTTCGCGGATTATTGTTTTCCTTTCGCGGACCCATCGCGGATCTTTCGCGGACACTCTATTTCACATGTTAAAACCATTTTATATAATCCCCACACAAGGACCTTTAGATCAATGCTCATATGTAGTTTCGTTATAGACACTGATATTTAACTTGAACTCTTTTTGGACTCCAAACCCTTCTGCAAAACTCTATCAGATTCTCAGATGGAAGATTTGCCTCGATCTGGCCTCCAAATACAACTTACGTTCTGCAAGACTCGACCAGACCGGCTGCCATTGAAGGCTTCATTCCCGACTCCCGACAGCAAAAGCCGGCTTTCCTTTAAGGGGGGTCTATCGAAGCGACGAGACCCGTTTGCGGAAACGGTACAGGATCCGAATGCCCGATCCAATGTCCTCTTGGCTTCAGCTTGCTACAGTCACACTCCCTGTAGAACTACAAGCGATGCACGACCTTCTTCGGTTTCATGAGGAGCTGCACGGAAAACCACGTTGGAGCAAAATCCCTGCAGCCCCAAGTGGAAGAGATATACTTAAGTGGTGCTGGAAAAGACCTCCTTAAAGTGTCCTCGGTGTTTCCCTTCACACTCCGAGATTGTCTATATCTTCATCATCGGATCCTGCGCCCTTTTTTGACTCTTTCGCTCCCCTTCTTCTGATTACCAGCGATTATTCGCAGTGCCCTTACGGCCCAGAACCTCTGTAGCCTCCTCTCCTTGGTGGCTCAGAACCTTGCATCAGCTGCATGAGCGCGTGCCTCAGTCGGCAACTCTTCATGCTTTGGGTTGGAGTCCAGGGTTTAGGGTTTAGGGTTTAGACTCTCTGAGCTTGAGGAAGAAGGCTGAGAGTCTTGGTCCCCTGTGCGAGCAAGCGCTCTCGTCTGTCCTATCTGTCCTGTTCTCTACGCCCTGGACGAACCCTCCCCACCGAGAATACAGCCTATGCCTGAACTCGCTCTTTCTTTCCTTTCCTCAGGGCTGTGGTGCAGGGGTTTCCCCCTACACCGCGCGCGTTAGCGCCCCCGACAGGTGCGGGAGACAATGAACTTTGCGTGCGCACACCACCGAGGCAGAAATCACTGAACAAGGTAAGCAGGACAAGATGACGAAGGTCGGTATTCTGCCTCGGATGGCGGCCCCAGAAAAGCACGTCTGGAAAGAGGGCACTCGGGGGTCGAAACTACGTTCGGCAGGCATCTTAAAGTACAGCAAAGTTGAAAGGGGAAAACCTGCAATCAGTATGGAAAGCGTCGTTTGGTGGCACAGCGGCCCGTCAAGGTAAAAGTACAAGTTGAGGTGAAGTGGTTACCCCCTCAACTCTATGGTACATGCGCTTCGAGCGGAAGCTGTAGGATTGAATGGGGTTGGCTCCAGCGGCCCGTCAGGAAAAGGTTTGCACATTTGGAATTGGGGCATGACACCCCTACGTTCAAAGGATTTCAATGGAGAAGCCGGCACATGTCGTGCCGAGGTGTTGCCTGCTGACCCCAAAAAAGAAGAAAGGAACCTGGAACTGGAGACAAGGCCAAAGCAACCCTAAACCCCCGCCAAAGGTGCATACCAACACAAGGCCTTTCTCGGGTTCCCCCATTCCATGGCAAGGGAAGTCAAAAGTAGAAGGGGGTTTTCCCCCAGGCCGGGCTGTTCACTGGTTCAAGCCTCTCTTAAAGCAGCGCTCAGTAGTCTTCGTTCCGCTTCCGGCGACGTTGTCTGTCTGGAGACCGCTCTCCTGCTTGTCGCTGCTTCTTCCTGTGGGCTCTGTAGGCGTCTTTACTTTCACGCCTGTATCTTCTCCAGAGGTCCGCATCGTTCTCGTGGTCCGCCAGTCGGGTTAGTCCCCCCGATTCAAGAAGCTGTTGGAGTCGGCGTCGCTGTCGTGGGGTAAGAGCTGAAGGAGCTCCGGCTGGCTCGGGAGGACGGAGAGGTTCCCCCCTTTCTGCATCGTCACGTTCAGCTCCCTCTTCGCCTCGTTGTCGGGTTGGACTTCCCCGTCGTCTTGCATGTCCGGGTACTCGTCCATGTCCATGTCCATGTCCGCTTCCTCCTTACAGTTGTACAGCTGGTCCAAGTGCCTTGCGTCCTCCTCGTCGTTGTGCTCATTCATCATCTGAGCCGTCTCGGGGGGCTGGAGCAGTAGAAAGCTTCCCCCGGCCACATAGGTTTCGTCCTCGAAAACATCCTCCGAGGGGTGAAGTCCCCGCTGCGGCATGGTGGCATTTTCGTAGCAGGTGGAGGGAGCCCCCTGGTTGTCATCACTCACTGACCTGGCAGTAGTTTGATGTTCCTTAGCATCGGTGGGCTCGGTCTTCGTGTTACAGGAGTCAGTCGTCTTCTGCTCGGGGTTCACCCCCTGGTAGAAGGTCTCGTTGTTCGCAAAGTCGAGGGAGTTGCCCCCCCATGTGCTCCGCCGGCAGGTTAGGTTCCGCGTTCTGCTGGGCTCGTAGAGGGGGGCCTTGTGTTGGAACCGCAGGTGCTGCCTTGGCCTCCAAAGGTGTCAGTCCCCTTAGGACTCCAGACGACTTCGGCTTGATAGGTGGTGGAAGTACCCACTCTGGCTGTGGTCTTTCTGTAGGGGTCGGTTCCCCTCTCTCTGGACTGGGTCGCAGTGGAGCTGAACTGGAGGAAGCTGTAGAGGAGGTTCCCCTAGTCGTAGTCGGCGGCGGCGGCGTTAGGAGTGCAGGTGGGCTAGCGAGAGCACGAACCGGCGTCCTTCGTGGTGAAGTGGGTGTGCTAGGTTGACTGGCCATGCCAAAGAGTCGCTGCAGTGGGTCCTGAAGGAGCTCATCCATGTCGTCGTCATCTGCATCGCCAGGAGTGACCTCCTGCGGTTTGGGCTCCTCGTAGCGGTGC